CGGCCCCTCGCGGCGGAGGCGGCATTTTTAGTCGCTCCGGTTTCACCGCTCTCTCGGGGTGGGGGCCGCAAAGTCCTCGGGGACCGCGGCCGTTTTTAAAGAAGAAAAAAGGCCAAAATCTTCACGCGTGCGTGGGCTCCTCGGGCGGGGGATCGGGGGATGCGTTTCCTCACCAGGAGGTAGAACAAGTCTGCAGTTTAGGTGGCGGGTTCTTGGCGGGGGGGGGGGCCTTTTTTTCCCCTTCTTTTAGCGCTGCCCTGCGCCGCGTTAGCCCGCGGCGGCCGGCGATGGGCCGCGCAACTATTGCCTTTTCTGGGGCAAATAACCCCCCCTCCCAAACACTCCCTCCCCATGCCCCAAATCCTCGTTTTCCTACCAGCAACGAGCGCTTGCAAAGCGGTGCAGCTCGGGATCCCCCGACGGAGCCGCCCTCACCCCCCAAAACATCGCGACGCCCAAGCCCCCGGGGCCCCCGGCCCCCCAGCCGCTCGCCGCGGCGCGGCCGCTTCCTCGGGCTGAAACTCCCTACAAATGGTTAAGCTCTGACGTGACGCCCTCGTCAGAGAGAGACGGGGACACTTTCGGACCCGTCTTGCTTCTGTTTTTGGAAATTTGATCATTGCCATCTCCATGCTCGCTAAAACCAGCAGTTTAGTCTTTTTGCCTTTTTTTTTTCTTTTTAAATATATTTTTAATTATTATTATTTTCAATATATTTTGAAGCTCCGATGGAAGCAATTTGCCGAGCAGCTCCGGTGCCTGCTGCAAATTGTACACATCACTCTCTCCGATGCCTTTCCCTTAAACTATTCGTGGTGCAGATAGCATTCGTGTTGCAAAACTTTTTTTTTTCCTTTTTAAAAATATTTTTTAATAAAGCGATACTGATACAGCGAACTCCCCCAGCAGGTTCGTTTTCTTTTCCGAGAAAATGAACAACCGGGTGACTCTGCACTGCACATTTTTTCTCGTGGGAGTAAGAATGTGCGTTGCTTTCTGTGCATGTGAAAACTGCATTTAAAAACTCGAGATGTATTTTCTCAACGTCTTTATACGCACATTTATAAACTTGCTTCTTCTCTATGGTGCATCTACTCCGCTGCTAGGTGAGCAGCTTTATAACTGAATAAAAACAAAAGTTGGTGTATACATGGGCTGCGGAGGTTTTTTTTTTTTCTGTAGTAACTGCGGGGAGATAGATGGTTTTTAAAAATAAAACTCGTTTTCTTTTTTTCCCTTACTCTTTGGGCAGATTTTATATGAATATGCGAGCTTTAAGAGAGGGTAAAAATCAAAATGGCATGGTGGAAGTTAGGTGTCCATCGGGAGAGTTGCTGCTTTGTGTATTATTATTTTTTCGGAATGTCCTCTCCGCATCATATCTTGCAATATTCACCTCCCCGTGCCTAGACCGAGAGCATTTCCAGCTGAGAAGTGGCAGGGATCGCGTTAAGGACTATGGTCCGTGTGCGCGATTTGTCAGCCCCACGTGCAGTGTGACCAAACGAGGAAATGTTGTTCCCCCTGAAATTCCCTCCCGCGCGCAACGCACTCGTTTGGCACATTTTTTTTTTTTCCTTTACCTCCCTCCTCCTTTCCCCCTCCACTGGCCATTTCTCTAATGGGCATTAACCGAGCTGTGGGCAGGGGCTCCGTGTCGCCAAACATTCGCCCCCGGGGCCGCGCGCCGGGGGCGCTGCGGCGTGAGGCAGCCCCGGGCCCCTCGACAGCCGCGCGTAACTGCTAAGCAATGCGGAAAGCTGCGGAAACGCAGCCCCCCGGGGGGATTCTCCTGCTCCTTGGCTTTTTTTTTTTTTTTTTTTTTTTTAC